AAAAAAGGGGGGGGGGGGGGGGGGGGGAGAAGAAAAATCATTTTTAGAAAGAGAGAAAGAACTTAATTTTATTTGTCATCACTTAACCAAAATTTCAAAATTTTAAAGTTAACACGACCTTTGATATTAAGGGTTAACTCTAGATAACTATATTTATGTTTCTAAATATATAGCAAATTTATGTAAAATTTTTCAATAATAAAGGTTAATTTTAGGGGTTAAGATATTTTGTAAAAGAGATTAAGACCATGCTTTTCTATTTTTAGTAAAGAAAATTTGTATTTTTGAAATATTTAAAAAATCTTAAAAGATTCATGTAAAAAGAAAATAGGTTAATTTTAGGGGCTAAGATATTTTGTAAAAGAGATAAAGACTATGTTTTTCTATTTTTAGTAAAAAAGAAAATTTGTATTTTTGAAATATTAAAAAAATCTTAAAAGATTCATGTAAAAAGAAAATAATTAAACTTTATGAAATCCTTAAGTTAATATAAATTTATTAAGTGAAGAAATGTAAAAAGTTTTTAACTTTATGAAGAAAGGTTATCCAGACATAGTAATCCTCACAAAAAAAATTAAAAAAGAAGAAAAAAGAAGAAATGTAAAAAGTTTTTAACTTTATGAAGAAAGACTATCCAGATATAATACTCCTCACAAAAAAGAAGAAAAAAGAAAAGAAAAAAAAAAGATGTGAGGAGAAACTTGAGGTGATGCCCAATTAAAAGTTGACTTCACTTGAATCACCTTAAGGAAAAAGACTTGGATACATTTTCTAAACTTTTGATTTGAATATTAACTTAATTATTAATAAAGTTTTATGAAGTTCTTTTTCATTTGAATTTTCTAAGTGACTTTAATATAACAAATTGCAATTTTTCTTGAAAGAAATAGAAGATAAAAAACGTTAGACTTAATTACTGAATATCTTTACATCTTTAGTATTAACTAAAATTGTTCTGAATTTTTCTTAAGTTAAACTATTATGTTTAGAGAACTAAAATATGAAAGTTTAAAAGTTAAATTCTTTACCATACGTCATATTTTTATGTAGTAGAGAAGTTACTTGAGGACAAGTAACATGTAAGTTTGGGGAATTTTGATACACAAAAAATATATGCATTTTTAGGTTCAGTATCCTCATAGCCTAGCCACGGATTTAGAAACTATATCTAAGATTAACCAATGATTTTTTATGTACTGTATCATGATATAAAATTAAAATTGCTCATATTTAGCACAAGACATATTATAAACATTTATCTCATCTCATTTCACCAGAATTTCATTATAGTGGAATAATATTTTTTCACATAAGAAATCTTCATTACATAAACATAGACAACCCTTGCTTTTAGTTCGATTATTGGACTACTTGGGGACCTTAATTAGAATTTTATGGTGGACCTATGGAGCTGAATCACTCTATCAGTAACTTTGTTTGTTCTACTTATACTATAACCATTACCAGAAATCTTTGTTAAGGAGGCTAAAGGCAAACTGATATGTAAAGGGAGTCTTGTTGTTTCTTGGTATAAGTTTATTGCTATAACATGTTTGATATTATCATATTTTTAATTGTAATTTTAATAAATTTTTTAATATACTTGACACTCACTTAATATGTGATGTGTGTATATTATTTTATTTACTGTTATAAAATAATTTTTTTCTTTTCTAGTATCAAATATATTGCTATTACAGTTCTGTTACAAATAAAATTACTGTACGGGATAAAATGATCATTTATCTAAAAAACAGTTACAAATAAGTTATTTTTTAATTACACAAATAATCAACCAAATTATCGGAATCAAGTGATTATCAATTAATTGTAGATGGTCAAATGCCCGAAGAGACCCTAAGATAACAAAAGGTGCGTTTCTACGAATCGACTAACACAAATGGGTACTGTAATCGGCGCAGGCGCGTCAGAGGTGAGGGTCCTCCCCATCGCGCTCAGCTTCAGATTTCCTCGCTTGAGGTCCATTAGAATCCCTTTCTCTATGGAAGCCGCCGGAGAGAAATCCCTACTCCCTAACCTCTCTTGCTGTGCGACTAATGGCAGCCCGCATCCTATCGAAAGCCCAATGCTTGGCGCTACCGGATTTCGTCAGGAACCGGAAGCGGTCGCCGTTGGGAGTTTGGAGATAACTCTAGCGAGAGATGGAGATGATGCTGAGAGGCCCGTGAGGCATTTAGTGGTTGTGTCTTTATATAAGTTTGCGATTTTTGCGAACTACAAGGAGATGCGCAGACCACTGAAAGATCTCTGCGAAGAACTGGTGAGGAGATTGAAAGTTCTATTTTTTTATTTACTATTCTTTCTGTTTTTGCTTTTCGAGATTCTAACTAGGATGTGAGATGTGTTTGCCGTTTCTCTGTTCAAGTGCTCTTTAACCTTTTATGCACAGATTATAACAGCTATCTCTTACAAGATAGCAAGATCACCCTGCTATTTAACCCTGTAGTTTGCATATTTTTGTTCTTAGTTACTGAAATTTTGCTAATGTTCTTTGATTTGGAGTTCTAGCTAATTGTTTGGCGTAGTATCTGCAATACAAAAGAAAAGGGGAGCTAAACAATGGTTGAAAATCAGAAAATTTTATTATTCTCTTTTTCTCCTCCTCCTCAGATAACATATAGAACTTTTATTTGGCCTCTTCTATAGACAGCTACCCAAAACAGAAAGAAAAAGTAATTCTAGCTAATCAAGCATTACATCAACTAATTAAGGTATTAAGTACTATAATCAACGAAAGAAAGCTGTAATGGAAGGGACTGCAGTGGTAATGTATATCATGCAGGAGTCGGATAACACCATGTCAGCTTCAGAATAGTTCGACAAGAGGGAAGCCTTGGGATTGTCTGTTTCATCAGAGGATAATAAGTGTAGATGTTAGATGCATTGAAAGTAGATGACATGAAAAATCACTAATGTAAACATTTTCATTAATACATTTAGCAATTGGAATAGATACAAACTTCTGTGGACTAAATTTCCAATAAGTAATCACTTGAATCACTCCTATGAATCCTAACCCTGACAAGGTTACCTGAGTGGAAGATTTGTAATGTCGGTTAACATCTTCTTTCTTCCTATATTCTGCATTGGACATTTCAAGCTTACAGGCACATTGTGGAGTAAGGTAGTAAAATTACTAACCATTGAAACAACATTTTTGCTTTTGCATTTAGGAAGAAGAGTGATATCCGTGATGTGGTTGGTTTTTTGGGTGTATATGATACTAAAGGGACACTTACCGTTGGATTGGTTGGTTATTGAATTGTAAGCTAATTTAGCTTGTGCTTATTGTCTTGGATTATTCTGCACCAGACAACTTAACGTATTACATAAGGTCCTGTTAACAACTTCAATTTGTTCGTCTATTTATTGGTGATTTGCGGAGCTCAGTTGTAGTGTGGTTTCTAAACATTTCCAAAGTTCTCTCCAAAAATAGCTAACAAATTTCACATCACAATTGTGCATTAGGTTTTGAGGGACTCCATAAAGTCTAACAATTTATTTGAAAACTATACACACAATATAAAAAGCATTAAAAGGTCCTTTTATAAGCTATAAAATGAGCCATCTTAGAAAATATGTCCACCACTTCTATGATATTCCCTTGTTTTGATCCAAGGTAAACCCGCCCAAAATGAAATCTAAACCTAGATCTTCACAAAAGGAGTCCAATGTACGTAACTGTGCAAATAAGACAGTATTTTGGCCTATTCCTCCATAAACTTGTCAAACAAAACACTTTTCCACAAAACGAGTAATTTCTCTTCTAAGTTTTGGCCAAAAGAAACTTTCCCTCATCTGTTCAAGAGTTTTCTCACATCTCGCATGTGTGAACAATCCACCTGTATGAGCCTCTTTAATAAGCTGCGTGCGCATGAATGAATGCATAATAAATAATTGATTGTGTTTGCACAAAAATTCATGACTTAAGGAGTACTCGTTAACAATTTTGGAATCACAACAATGTTGTCATATAGTGTGGAAGTTTTTATCCTTGTTATATGGTTTTGGATGCATTCAAAACCAGTAATTTCTCTTTGGAGTTGGGCCAGTAAAGCTGATCTCATGTTGAATGTGTCGGCCACTTTGTTTTGGGTTTTGGATTAATATGTCAGCATAAAGTTAAATCTGCACAAAAATAAGCTTCATTTTGTTCGTGCATGTGGTTAACTATTTTTTTAGAAGAATAAATTGTAAGGCATGGTGATTAGGGGTAGACACTGGCTTGCCCACCTGAAAGAAAAAAACTTCTATAATAATGATTGATCTGGTATTTTGCCCAATTTCTTCTCTATTACTTTTATTTGCCTAACAAAAATGCTCACGATCTTGCCTTGCTGTCACGCCCTCTCTACCAGAAATCAATCTCGAAAGCCTTCGCATCTCATAGTCTCGCCCTCCCTCGGGAAAATCCCTCTCTGCTCATTGGTAGGAAGATCTAGAGATTAGCCATCTCACTTTCCTTCTGCTCTCCTGAAGCCAAGATCTACAAGGTGAGGATGAACTTGACTGCTATTTTGATGATTCAAATTTGACTAGTGTTGAATCCATTTGGGATCATGGGATGCGAGATTCCGTATAATTCATGAACTAATATAATCCGGGAGAAACTTTGCGAAGGATTGAGAATAAGTTGGGGGATTTTATGAGAGAGAGAGGGATGATCAGGGAGTTTTTTTAGGGTCCAGGGTCGAGGAAGCATTGAGAGGTATATCTCTCTCCCTTTTCCCTTTTTCTTTTTATTTATATGTTATGAATCCTATGTATCCGCTCAAAAGTTTAAATAATAAAATATAAAATTAGGTTATAGCCATATAATATGAAGTTTGACCAAACTTGTTCTCGTCAAGACTGCTGGTATGGATTATCACGATGTTAATAAATGATTATTTACATGTTGACATATTGATGTTGTCTTCTTTCTATGTAGAAGAACTGCCCGTCAGGTTGTGTGTTCAAGTAGTTGTCAGACGGGTTTAGTGGGAAGGTCCAACCAGTTCGTGCGAGTTTGAAATAAGAACTCGGGCAGTGTGAGTGAGCTCGATTGAAAAAACTCACTTGAAGATTAAATCTTGATAAATTTGTTCAGAGGAACTTGCAAGAATGTAGGCGTGCTTCGGAGGTACTCATGGGGTCCTTATGGGCAGAAAGGAGCTCTATAGCTTTTCATTTCTAAAAGTGCAGCTAACGAGTAAGTGCACAATTGATGGGCTCGATCCATTAAGCTCATTAGGGCCATTTAGTACTTGGGCTTTTCTGTTTCAAAAAAAAAAAAAATCTCATTTTCGGCTATACATTTAATTTCCTGATTCTCTTAGCTCTTCGATAGGATATTGCAAGAAGAATGAGAGAATAAAAAATAAAGGATCAGGTAAATCCGGTTAATGACTAAAGGGATGTGATGGTCGCAACAGGCATCCTGCCTTATCAATTTTGTCTGAAGACGTGTATTCATATTTAATCAAAACGGTGTTTTCACTAACAATAAGTTTTCTGGGTTATGTCTTAAAGAGTAGTCGCAAGAGTTTACCATTGAGCTCGAATCTTCCTTCTTCTACGGGCTCAGAAGCTATGTTTGCAGGGAGTAGTTGCGAGTACTTTCAAGTAACAATGGATTGTTTCTCATTTAGGTGTTTTTGCTTTCTAGGTGATGGAAGTAACTCCATTTTTATGGCACATAGATGTTTCGAGTGAATTTTTCCCTGTTGAGTTTCCCAGGGCTAAAGCATATGTTGTTACGAGAGATATGACTTATTTCAGCAATTAGGAGATATGTACTACTAAGAAGTAGTGGTGTACAATGTGAAAAGTTTGAAACTTTCCTGTTATTAAGGGTGTGATGTTTGTGGTTTTGTAGGATTGTCAGAGAATAACTATTAAATCATTTTACATAAGTACTACGAGCACTCACTACATCCGTCGATACATCGTCACCTCATCCTAAGAAAAAAGATAATGTAACAATCATTTACATAAAACACCTAGAAACCACTTCAACGCCTCCATAAAGATCTAGTGGAGATGGTGAATATACATTTCACGCTCTCAATAACCATCTTCACTCCAAGGAAATCCTTCACCAATTCAGCTGCCTACGCATGCTATAACAAAACCTCCTAGAAAAAAGAAAGCATGGACACATAATAATAGAAATAGCAAGAACTTTACTAAAGACAACCAATATTTATCCCATTTTTTGGACAAATGTCATTTTTACCACAACATATTTAATAAACAGACTTCCATCTCACAACACATTTCAAATCACCCAATCAACTACTACACGAAACAAAACTCACATATGACCATCTTAGAATATTCGAATGATCATGTTGGCTTTGACAACAACCACAGACACAACACAAAATGGCTCCCAAAGCACCTCACTGCATATTTGTTGGCTACATCCAAAGCTACAAAGAATATAATGTTATTACACTAACCAAATGAATCATTCACTCCATTAACATTACATTTTAAGAACACAACTTCCCCAATCACAACAAAAAACCCTTCATCACTATCAATAATCCCACAACATATATACCTCACACACTATTATTTATCATTTCTACCCTCCCAACCACACAACACAATTAGCTCATCAACTTTCCCGCTATTATCAAACCAACCCCCAGTCATACTCACCAAAACCCATCATATGCAGATAAAACAACAAACAATACATCTCAAACTCGCAAACATTCTCAACCTCATTCATCAAACACCCCAAATAGACCCAACCTCCTTTCTACAAGCTATCAAACACACACATTGCAGAGCAACAATGTTATAAGAATTTCTTGCACTTCAACAAGGCACATGGATCCTAGTGCCTCCACCAGCCAACCAAAATACTCGGATGTAAATGGACATTTAAAACCAAATATTATGCATATGGGACCATAGCTCACTACAACTCTACAAGGCTTGCCTAGTAGTATAGGAATACAAATAACATCTAGGACTCGACTACCAGGAAAGTTTCAATCTTGTGGCCAAGTTTCCCAGCATACATATTCTTCTCATTATTGCTACAGCCAACAAATTGCTCATTGAACAACTCAACATTTCAAATACATTTTTCATGAGAAACTAGATGGCTCAGTATGCATGACACAACCATCAAGTTTTACAGACAAGTAACACACTCACTATGTCTGCAAACTTAATAAGGCTCTCTATAGGTTAAAACAAGCACCACGACAATCGTATTCAACATTTTGCACATAAATCTTCAATCAAGGATTTTGGGTTAGCAAAGAAGATCATTCCCTCCTTATATATGAACATAACTCTACACTCATATATCTGCTTGCATGTGTAGATGATATACTCATCACAGTCAACTCAACCACCATCATCATTAAACTTATCCACAACCTCATCCAAATCCTTAGCTTTAAACAATTATGACTCATCAAACATGTTTTGGGCCTCCAAATTTAACACATCACACAATGATACTTCATATACCAAACCACGGACCTTCAAAACAATACTACAAAAACTACAAATAATTGGAATGGTAAATTTCAAATCCGTCTTATCACCCCTCTCCACTAAACCCCAACCTAATAACTCATCTTTCAGACCACTACCAGTCCCTCATCGTTATCAAAAACTCATAGGAGCACTTCAATAGCTCACAATCACTTGCCTAGAGATCACTTTTATTGTCAATCAGTTTAGCCAAGAGCTACGTACAAGGAACTCCCAACCTAGGACTACCCATCACAGTGACAACACTTCACCTCCAAGTATATGTAGATGTCGACCGGGCTATCAACTCAGACTACCGTCGATCCACTTTAGGCTTTTGTGCCTACCTGGGCTCCAATCTCACTCAGACTACCGTCGATCCACTTTAGGCTTTTGTGCGTACCTGGGCTCCAATCTCATTTTTTGGTCAGCAAAGAAATAATCAGTTCTGGCACACTTTTCAACAGATGCTGACTATCACGTCCTAGCAATAGACACCATAGAGATTCTTTGGATTCACCGTCCACTTCAAGAGTTTCAAGGACATCCATCGACTCCTACGCCTCTTCTTTATGACCACCTCTGCCATTGTACTAGTTGAAAATTTCATCTTTCATGCTAGCACAAAGCATATAGAAGCAGACTACTATTTCATACGGGACCACCTCAAGAATGACAACCTCTCAATCAAGCACATCATGACAGCAGATCAGGTAGTTGACATCCTCACAAAACCCCTCTCTAGCTCTCGGCATCAAGATCTCACAAGCAGGCTGACAATCTTCTCCCTATTTCTCCGCTTAATGTGGATATATATGAGCTAAGGAACACTCACATACGACAACCCTCAAGCACAAGGGATGTAAATCCATTTCTAAAACCTTCACCAGAAGTGTAAAATTACCATACTCAACTTACGGAATTTACCATCCTACCCTCTAATGTACTATATAATGGCGTGTACAAAGCGGGAATGTGTATAAAATAGTATGCATACCTGAGTTCAATCATTCGAATATCCCACTGCTTTAAATATAAGTGATTAATCTGGTCTCTCTTTTTCTTCTTCTTAATATTTCATTCTTCTCCTTAAAAAAGATGGAAAAGAGGACTTCTATATAGATTTACTTTTTGAAATGTTGGATAATTAATTTCCTTTGAAACTCTTTTTGTGAAGGCACAGACAATTTCATCAAAATTTTATCATGAAATGATAAGAGTGAAATCATGCATATAAAATGAATGTCGTTCACTCAAGTTCTAGATGTGATTATCGTCATAACTCTTTTTTGCATTTACAAAAACCAAAAGACATCGTAATTGCAGGTATAATCAGTTAGCTAATCTGTGAGAACTATGTCAAACTTTAAGTTCCATGTTTAGTTATAACATTGTTCATCTTCTCTTCTTCCGTCAATTTGCTTGTATGGAGATTTACATATCTGATTCTTTTCAGCGTATTTCAGGAGGTATCATTCTAGCACCAGAGGGAATAAATGGTAGCATATGTGGGACGCAAGAATCAGTAGAGAAAGTTCTTGAATTTATCCAATCTCATGAAAGTCTAAGGGGCCTAAGAATAGTTGAATCGCCTGTTAGCCTTGAAGAAGAGGCCATTCATCATGGACACACCAGCCATTCTCCTCTTGGAGCAGGTGAAGAAGCCCCTTTTCGCTGGGATCATGTTCGCGTTAAACTGAAGAAAGAGGTGATTTTTCTTGGTCTGATTGAACAGGAGTCTACCATCAGAACACATTAGAATATCATTTCTCAATTTTCTTGTGACTTTTTTTTTTAAAAAAAAGGGAAGTTCTATATACATACTACTCAAGTCCTATCTATATCTTACGCCTAAACTTCAATTCTCACATAAATACCACCTAACTTATGCATGAAAAGGTGTATTTCACTTTTTAAAAGTTAAAATGGCGGTATTTGTGATGTGAGATGAAATATTTGGGTGGTATAAGTGTAAAAAGCAAAATTTAGCTTTTAGATATGTAAATATATAGGAATTGGGTGGTATATATGTAAATGCCCCTAAAAAATGTTTTTTGCAAGCAGATTGTGACTTTTGGGGATGCAAGCGTGATGCCTACTGAAAGAGTTGGAAAATACGTTCGTCCAAGCGACTGGAATGCTCTGATTAGTGATCCTAATATCGTGAGTAACTCGTTACAATTTGTTGTTTCTTCAGCTGTTTCTGACTTTCAATAATAGATTGCTATAACCTTCTATAATGATATCATTTCTTGGTTTACTCATTTGAAGACTAAAGTTTCTGACTTTCTTAGTTCCATAGTAAAGTATGATATTCAGTGTTTTCTTTCTTATTATTAATGCGCAAAGAACAGCTCCATGGTTTTATAATTGTTGTCATAAAACTTATATTATTGCATTTTAAGTTTGGATATTGTTTTTTTTTTTCCATTTATCGGCTAGGTGTTAATCGATGTACGCAACATGTACGAGACCCGCATAGGGAAGTTCAAAGGCGCTGTCGATCCATGTACCACCTCATTTCGAGAGTTCCCAGCCTGGGTGAACGAGAAGTTTCAGGCCAATGGGTCGAGAACTCGGCAGCCGGACATGGAAAACAATAGACTATTAGAACCTCCAAAGCCGCCTCGCATTGCAATGTACTGCACCGGTGGAATCAGATGTGAGAAGGCTTCAAGTTTTCTGCTCAGCGAAGGTTTTGAAGAGGTATTACTTTGCTTCTTTTTGTTCATATTCTCTATCTTCAGATAAAATTCCTCAACTTCAATTCATCGTAATTCTTACTTCTATCTTTAGATAATATTTTGGAAATCCTAACTACAATTTCAAACAAAGTTTGTGATGATTCGCTCTGCTGATACTGATCTTCTTTCCATATTATTCTTATAGGTTTATCATTTGGAGGGTGGGATTCTGAAGTATCTTGAAGATGTGCCAGAATCAGAGAGCCTGTGGGAGGGTGAGTGCTTTGTTTTCGATAAAAGAGTATCTGTTGAGCATGGGTTGGAACAAGGGAGCTTCAAGCTATGCTATGGCTGCAAACAACCTGTGAGTGATGCCGACATGGAATCTCCGAAGTGGGAGTTTGGTGTTTCATGTCCTTACTGTTTCTTCACCAAATCAGACGAAGAGAAAGAGAGAGCGAGAGCGAGACAAAGGCAGTTCGAAACGTGGGGACTTATTGGCGGACCTGATAAGGGTCGCAGGAATCCAACGAATCCCAGCTGAGTAATAAAAAGGTGATGAAGCCTCTTTCTAGCTCAATCTAGCAATCCTCGCTTTACATGTATGATATTATGGTTATGTTTTGGATTGAATACTCTTGCTTTATCCTTCATTTTGGATTTTTAATTTGGGGCATTTACATACATAGCACTTCTTTTGTATTTACCTCACACCGAAACTTTCATATTGAGATGCAAAACACTTAAATCTTTAATATCACATAAAAAATAACACTATTATCACTTGTTCACTGTGAAATACACATTTTCATGTATAGGTTTTTAGTATCAAAGTGCTCCATATATGTAGATATGAAAATTTAGGTGCGAGTTATGTAAATACATAAGAATTGTGTGCTATCTAAGTTTCCCTGAATTAAACATTAGATTTTAATTTAAGGGAGAGAGACTAGACTGCAGAACTTGAGACCTTTTTTTATGTTTTTTTTTCAACCAATAGCTGAGTTATGGTGAAACTTTTGAAATCTCTTGCCCCATTCTATTTTTTACTTCAAAAGAATCACAAAACAAAATATTATAATTTCGTTTGGTTTCTTCATTTACAACTTGGACGTTGCCCTTCGTGGCTTATTATATAATTTGGAAAATTAGTTAAGTAGCACACATTCTTATGTATTTACATATTTCACACCTATAGTTACATATTTACATTCACATTTCACTGAGTAACAATGGCATAATACTAAAAGAATGTTCATAAAATACTGAGCACTATAAAGGAGAAGTCATATCATAAGAAAAACAAAAAAATCAAAATTCGCTGCCCTCTTCATTATCATCATCCTTATCATTGACCTACTCCATGGGCTCGATCATCTCCACGTATCATCTTGAAGGGTGGTAAAATACGAAACTTGTTTAAACTCGACCTCGTGTTCAATTTGCAATGTTAGAATCGAGATGAACTATGCTTGGTACTCATGTTGGAGTTGGTGTTGATCAATATAATAGTCGAACTGCTGACTCATATCCTACTCACCACTACTGAATGATGGCCATATCATTACTCAAGGTATCAAGTCTCTTGCCTGTAGAATAAATAGAGGTAGAGGATCAGACACTTGATGGGGTTGGTCTAGAAGAAATCTTACCTTGCCCAAAAGATGTCTTCCGATAAGATCCCAAGGTGTCCTTAGTCATAGCTTCACTATGATGAAGCTGCTCTTATCAGCTCTCACCTTTGAACCCCCGCTTTAACGCATAAGACATAAATCACTAATGGGTGGCCAGACTAACAGTGGTCGTTCCCCTAATGATTCTCTGGATAGAAACATAAATGGTAGAACCAATGTTTATATATCTTTCTTTCTAAATACAAAAAATTAGAACTATCATTTACTTCATGACCTCATTAATATTTGTAGATGGCACCATTTTAGCAAGTGCAAAATAATGCCAAGCCTTCAATTTAGTAGTCAAAGTAGAGACATTGAAATTAATAATGTATTCATTGTGAATTCTCCATTGGGTGCGGGAATCGATAAGAAAATTGATAAGTTTCTCATAATCAAGTTCTGGAACAAGAAAACTAGAATATATAGTTGGGAATATAAGGGAGATAAAAAAAGCTTTTATGGACAAAAAACAAAAATAAATAGTTTTCCTCTTCCAAAAATTGTCATCCATTTGTTCTTTTGCATTAGCGAAGAACTCGTAGGCAACATGAATAATGACAGGCTTAGCCTCATAGCACAATTTCTTTTTTTCATTTCTCCTGATAATAATGTCTTCTACCCTTCACTCGAAATTAAGGAAACACTCTCAAAAATTAACTTCTTAGATATCAAGAAACTGCTATATCGACACTAATAAATTTCCTCACATTATAAGTAGTTGAAAAATTAGGGTCTTTGGGCTTCAGAGCCATGAGATCAAAAGGAGGAGGAGAAGAAAAGGAAATCAATAAAAAAACTTAGAAAAATGATGAAAATAAGAAACCAAAAACATGGAATAGCTCTAAATCCATCACCCTTCACTTTTACCCAATCGCTCCGACTCGCTTGGCTAAATTTGATCGCAAAAAAAATAAAAAGAGGAGAGATGCTGATTTATATAAAAAGGGTCGGCGCCAGGGCACTGGGTATGAGCTTTGCGACACTGGGCAGTCAAACTGATAGCTACGAGCATTCAATAGCGTTTATGGAGAATACTTGTTTCACGCGTCAAGTCATAGCATTGTGGCGATGAGTCTGGGCACTATAGCACTATATAGGAATGAAATTGAATGGTTATGATGAAATTATGTGGAGCGGAGAACTTAGTGTGACAGTGCTAGAATGCTACTGCATCACTGAGAGAGCAACTTGGGCACTATGGTGCTCAGGGTTGGTGTGGTGGTGAATTTTCAACATTTTCTTAAAACACAAATTTATTACACACAAAATTAAGAAAGCACACTAACACAATCAACAAGATAACTCTTAGGTTGCCTTCTAAGAAGTGTTTAGGTTAATGTCTTTAACTAGATAATGTCAGATTCTTAATTGGGATGACCTAAGTCAATGGTTTCCCTTTGACCTATTATATCTTTTTCGAGATAAGGTTTAAATTTTTGTTCATTAACTTTAAAGATGCCAACAATCCTTCTATCCTTAATATCAACTCCATCGAGGGTAAACTTTCACTATAGTAAATGGGCTAGATAAGATGTACTTTAACTTCCCAAGAAATAATTTCATTCGAGAATTATATGGTAAAATTTTTTATACACACTCTAAATTTTTCTTAATAAACTTTTGATCATGCAACTTTTTAATCGTCTCTTTACAAATTTTGACATTCTCATAGGCTTGCATTCTAATTTTATTTAATTTATTCAAATGGAATTGTTTTGTCTGCCAAATCCTTGAGATTATATTTAAATTTCTTTAACTGTCCAATATGCTTTATGTTCTAATTTTATAGGTATATGACAAACTTATGGGTATATGACAAGCTTTTTTAAAAACTAACCTATATGGAGACTTCTTATGGGTATTTTATAAGTTGTCCTATATGCCCACAATGTATTGTCTAACCTAATGGAAGAATCCTCCCTACTGGGTTTTTTTTAAAAACTAACCTATATGGAGACTTCTTATGTGTATTTTATAAGCTGTCCTATATGCCCACAATGTATTATCTGACCTAATGGAAGAATCCTCCCTACTTCTATAATAATTTTTTTCTAAAAGTCCCTTAATCGCCCTATTTGAAGCTTCTGCTAAATCACTATTTCGAGGCTGATATGCAACATAAATTTTATATTTTATCCCACACTTAGTAATTAATGTCTCGATCCTTTTATTATAGAAGTAGCTCCTCTCCTCACTAATAATTACTCTAGGTGTTTCATATATGCTAAAAATATATTTCCTTAAAAAATTTTGAACTCCTTGTGAATCATGCCTAGTTAAAGCCAATGTCTCTTTCTATTTGAGATAGAATCTATTGTAATCAAAATGTATTAGTTTCCTAAATATGGTATAAAAGGTCCCATGAAGTTAATACCTAAATAAAAAAAATTCATTTCTAAAAATATAATTTTAGGGAATATTACCTGTTTGTTGATATTTATCATATCGTTTAATATATTCATTAACATCCTTAAATATGGTTGGACAATAAAATCTCGATTGTAAGAATCTTAAAAGCACATCTAAAATCTCCAAAATGCTCTCCAAAATATTAGTAATGGCACAATCTAATGATATTTTTCGCTTCTTCTAAAGGGACACTCTTAATAATTTGGTCCTTACACTTTTTAAAAAGAGAAGGTTCATCCCAAAAAATAAAATCTAGCATCAAACATAAGCTTATTCCTTTAGTTATATGACATATCATATGGGATGATATCACTTACAACTTAATTCACAATGTCAACATGCAAAAGAATAATTTATTAAATAATTATAAGTAGTTTTTCATCGGAATTTTTTTATTAATTTTATCAAGCAATCCTCAAATTTCTCTTTTCAAATCTCGACAAATGATCCACTACATGATTCTCCGAATATTTCATATCCATGATCTCAATATCAAATTCTTGTAACATAAGTATCCATTTGCTCAAGCGTGAATTGACATCCTTCTTAATAATTAGATATTTGATAACTAAGTGATCAATGTATACGTTCACTTTAGTACCAATCAAGTAGGATCTAGATTTGATTACAAATACTATTGATAGTAACTCTTTTTCGGTTGTGATATATAGTTGACTTATGCATCATTTAGAGTTATATTATTATAGTATATTACATGAAAGACTTTTTTTTTTAAATTCTAGCCTAACACAGCTCAAAATGCATAATCACTAACATCACAGATGAGCTCAAATGGGTACACTTAATTAAGTCAACTATAACGGGTGTTGCGATTAATTTTTACTTTAAATGTTCAAAAGTTGCAAGGAAATCATCATTAAATTTAAGTGGAACATCCTTTTCTAACAATTGATAACCTTTTCTAACAGTGATTTAGAAATTTTATAGAATCATTAATATATTTATGGTAAAATCCAACACGTCTTAAAAAACTTCTAATCTCTTCAATAGAAGTGGGTGGAGATAGTTTTTCTATAACTTGAATCATAGCCTGATTTACCTCTATCCCTCTCTTAGAAAATTTATGCCCTAAAGAGTCCCTTTAATGATCATGAGCTGGCAATTTTCCCAATTCAACTCAAGATTAGTCCTATCATCTCAGTAAAACACTGCTAAATGTTCGAGCATGTATCAAAGGAAGTGTCAAATTCAAAAAAAAAGTCATCGATGAATAGTTTAATTACCTTTTCATTCATATCAGATAAAATAAACACATACATCTTTGAAAAATAATAGGACATTGTATAAACCAAATGACATTCTCCTAAAATTAAAAGTTTTATAGGAACTAGTGAAGTTGTCTAATACTGGTTTTCTAATGTTATGAAAATTTAGTTATATCTTAAATATCCATCTAGGAAATAAAAGTAAGGGTGTCCTTCTAATCTATGTAGCTTCTGATTAAGAAAT